GAAAGCTTTCCAAGAGCCTGAGTTCTTCAAACGAAGAGCACTGATTCCTTTACAGATGATTATCTGAAGCAACAGGCAGTGGACAGACCCATACCCTTTGAGACAAACCGTCAGGGAGTATTATTTTTTTTATCTCAGCCTTCTCACAATAAGGAACACTAACTCTTGCAAGTATAGGTTCAGCATATGACAAGATAACCTCACAATGTTCCTTGTTTTTGTGCAGCCTATCAAAAGACAAAAAGTGTCATATTTTCCCCAGACATCTCATGTTCTTATGTGGGAGTTTAACATGCTGTAAAATGAAGGATATTCTGAAGTGGAAGACAAGGAAGATCTAAAGGTTTCAAACTAGTGATAGATGAGAAAGTTCTAAAGGCTTCACAGTGATTCTGGTTCATGCTTCTTTTTTTTTGATCCATGAACTGTGCGTTGGTAGTTTTATTTATAGCTTAGAGGAAAAGGGAAAGGGAATAAGGCAGAAGAAGATTATGATTTAATGAATTCAAACAATATACAGGAAGGAAGTATATTTCATCGAAAGAGAAAGGTCGCCGGTAGCGGTCATTTACAGGAACTGTGATATGAAAAGGAAGTTGTGTTGTATGGAAAGGCTTGTAAATGGCAAGGATAGATTTTATCTTGATAAAGAAATATACAAGCAGATAATATAACTATTCGTCATGTGGAACAAGGCCAAATATCAATATGGCTTAAGCAAATTTCAACCTTTGTTTAGCCAATTAGAAGGTTGCTTGTAAACATGTTAAATTACAGAAAATAATTGAGTGCCAAGGAATGAATGCAGTGGTGATGGAATCTATTAGTTGTTCTTAGCAACAGGCTTTCTTCTGAATGTATTAATGAGTCCCATTTATCTCTCTTGCAAAGGTATGATAGAAAGTTGAGTTAAAAAACCTGATAAAAAATGGAGTTTAGTATAGTACAGGGCTCAAAATTTCCACTCGCCTGCTCGCATTTGGTAAGTGGAAATAAAGTGAGGGTGAGTGGAAATTCAGCCAGTGTATTAGAGCTCACACCCACCCTGCCTCAAGCTGATGCTGCCCCGTCAGCAGAGACACCCTCACCATTGCTGGAATCGCCGAGTGTTCTTTACTGCCAGACACGCCCACACCACTGATGGACGTGCTATGTCCATGTGCGCTTTGGAGATCCCGGCGGAGCCGCATACTAACAGGTGAGATGGTGGGGATAACGAGAAGCACTGAGCAGGGTGGCACAGCAGTGGAGCAATGGGGGGCGACAGTGAGGCTGCCCCGGGCTGGGAGCAGAGATGAGAGCGGGGTTCCAGGTGCGTGGCTGTGTACACAATATGTTACAGTATCTCTTAAACTAAAGCTTAAATACAAGTGCGGCGCTCCCGGAGATCTGAGAGATAAGGGAAACAGAGAAGTCCAATCATCAACAATAATGTGAATATAAGAAAACCTGGGATCACAGCAAACTTAGAGTGTGATAAATATTATATTTCCTGCACAAAAGCACAATGTTCCGTGAAGCTATAACTAATATTGTAGTGTTAAACCCAGTGTGTCCAACCCCCCCCCACACACACACAGACAAGTCAATATGATATATAGAGAGAATATATATTGCTCAGTGAAAGAAAAAGTCAATCAGAGGTTTACACCACTCCTGACAGGTAATATCTTCACAGAACATTGTGCTCTTGTGGAGGAAATATATTTATCACATTGTGTGTTTCCTTTGATCACAGTTTTTCTTATATTCACATTATTGTTGCTGATTGGATTTGCAGATTTTTGTTTAGTAGTGTAGCACGGCACTTGTATTTAAGTAATTAAATAATAGTATTCATTAATCAATAATAATTAAGTAAATAATATTAGTAATTAAATAACTAATTATTAATTAATATTTAATATTTAATAAAATAAATAAATACGTTGCACGGTCCTGAGGCTGTCAGTTGGAGGGTCCTGATTTTTATTGATACCTATTTTCCTTTATGTTTACATTGCTTTATGTTAATATTGTTAAAAGTTGTTGTTATTAATATTTATTTTTTTTAACTTGATTCTGAATAAAACATTTAACAGTGTCATTTCATAAGATAATTTAGGAGGGTGTGTTTAGGGGGGAGTTAAGGCCGGGGTAGGGTAGGGGTTAGGTGTGGCAACTGCTGACGAGTAACTCTTAAGGCCTGACTAGTGGCTCAAGACTTGAAATTTTGAGCCCTGGTATAATATATATGTATTTTAACGAAATCTGCACAAATTGTTTGTACTTTAGAAACATTAATTACTTCAGCAGACCAGGGCTAATCTAGAACACACAATCTGTAGTTATCACCCCTTCTTGTGGATCATAAAGCAAAAATAAATGCTTTGGATAATAATTATGTGTTGTTAGCATGGGTGAACCAGTAGGTGAAAATAGGTTTCTATCATCCTTTTCACACTAGGGGGTCTATTCACAAAGCTGCCGAAGGATCTGGCCATAGCTTCGGCCGATCCTTCGGCTAGCTTCGGCACCAGGACCCCTTCGTGGTATCACACATGTCATTATGAGTATAGTGAGTTAGCATGTCAGTGAGGAGTTGTGTTTGGAAAAGTTGACTGATGGCGCTGGAACCCTGAATATTTTTTTATACCAGAGTATAAGAGTTGAACGTGGAATCTTGTATCAGCGTATGGAGGTCAGTGTAAAGTCTTCTATCAGGGTATAGAGGTCAGGGTGTGGACATTAGTGTGGAGTCTTGTATCAGGGTGTGGAGGTTAGTGTGAATTTTTGTATCAGGGTGTGCAGGTCAGTGTGGATTCTTATATCTGAGTATAGAAGTCAGCATGGGATTATAGGTTAGGGTATCAATGTCAGTGTGGGGTTATTTGGCAGGATCTAGATATTGTGTATCAGTGTAAGACTGTCAATGTTAAGTCTTATGTCAGGGTAGTGATGTTGGGATGGAGTCTTGCATTAGGGAGCTGATGTAATTGTTGAACCTTATGTTAGATTATGGATGCTAGTCAGGAGTCTTGTGTTGGGGTATCGATGTCAATGTGGAATTTTGTGTCAGGCTATGGATGTCAGTGTGAAATTTTGTGTGAGAGTATGTATGTCTTGTGGCAGGGCATTTGTCATAGACTTACCCGGCCCGGAGCTCCGTGCCCGCGGCGCACCGTCTCGTCTGTGACATCACGCCCGACTCCTCCCACTGGCCGCAGCGCTTCCTCAAGCGCACAGGTGAGTCACTCAATCGGCGTTCTATCAATGTGGAATGTCGAGTGAGTGACTCGGTGTGATACTCACCTTGCCACTGCCACTGCTACAGCGCTTGGGCTCAAACTGCCATACTGAGTCCCAGCATCCGTACCATCTACTGAGGCTGCCCTATACCATACCGCAATACCTGCTTCTGCTCCTCAGATATCCACAACCAGAACCGCAAGTACTAGGGGATCTTCCCCCAGCTGTTAGTTCCTATTTCAAATGTAGCATACTATGGCTTATTGATGAACTGTATATCAGAACGCTGCTTCAATAGGAATGTGATAATATTACTAGGTAGCTTATTATACGCATGCTGGGACCTACTACAATAATATACTGTACTATAACCACCATAGTGATTCCAGGGAGTCCTACTTGCCGTATACATCTTATATCTGTATTGCAGAGGAGCTGGAAGTTATAATTGTGGTACGCACCTCCTCTTGCAGACCCTATTGAGAAACTACTATTCCCCACATTGTACCTCAACTGAGTACAACCGCACAGCCCCAAGGCCAGTAGTCTCAGAGGCCATCATACAACTTATCACACCTAGGACGGGGTACATGATGTGGAACGGTTCCTGGATCTCCGCAGCTGAGATCCAGGAAAGCCTGTACCTGTTGGACTGTGACAGCATTAGAGCCAGTATTGAATTTAGTGCCAAAGTATATATTTACTGAGGAGTTGTGTAAAAGGGTACGGATGTCATTCATTTATGTTACTATATGCTTGTCAGTGTGGAATTTTGTATGAGGGTATGCAGGGGCGTAACTAGAAATCACAGGGCCCCATAGCAAAATTTTTTATGGGGCCCGGTGATTTCTAGTTATACCCCTTGCAGAGCCCACTCGAGGTCCCACCTGAGGGTGACCCTGCAGAGCCTACCATAGACTATCTATGGTGGGCTCTGCAGGATCACCCTCAGGTGGGCTGGTCGCACTCCTTACCTCCTCCGTCGCCGGGCCCGCCTCCTTCTTCGTCACCGAGGCCACCTCCTCCCCTGCTGCCGAGCACAGGCCCGCCTCCTCCTCCACTGCCAGTGATGTCAGATGCTCGCAACGTTGATAGAACACCGGGTCCAGCCTGCTCCCCCGCTGCTGCTGGCTCTCATTGATTGTGGAGACGAACGCGCCGCTGCACAGATGATCTGAACAGCGGCGTGTTCGTCTTCAGACACCAGTGAAAGCCAGCAGCAGAAGATCCCATAGCGACCCCGGGGCCCACTGTGCCCCGACCCCATAGCGACCGCCTGGGTCGCTATGGTGATTGTTACACCACTGAGGGTATGGATGTCTGTGTTGAATTTTGTGTGAGGGTAAGCATGTAACTGAAGAGTTGCGTATGGGTATGGATATCAGTGGGGAGTATTGTCTCAGTGGACAATACTCCAATAATCATTGGGTAGTTTGGAATTTGGTAGTTGGGTTTAATATGTAAGTGTGGCGTTACTAGTCAGCATATAGATGAGAAATATCAGCAAATAAGATCACTGGCACAAAGATTTATCAAGCAGGGCAGCCGCAAGCACATCACTGGAACATACCCTTAAAACACTCATTTTGCAGCATCATCAGCCACACTACTATGTAGAATAGAAAGCGCAGACAATCAGCTCACAAGTGTCTGGAAACTTGTTATTTTAAAAAATGTGAACTTCATTGGAATGCATCTGCTTAAATCATAAAGCCACTGACAATTAAAAAAATGCTATAATTTACATCATTTTCCATTGGTGTTTTTCTCAGGGCTTTCTTCTTGGACAAGACAAACCTTCCTCCAAATACCACATCTAAAGCTGCTTTTATTGACAAGGTAAATGACCTATACTATTAGGAAGAGGCACTGCATAATTCACTATGATATAGGGGCAGGCTACTTTTATGGGCAGCCTTTGTTTGCTTGTTGTACAGGCACACCAAACACCAAGAGGGTCCATTCGGCATTCCTTCAAAATAATTGAGGGAAAAGGGGCTTTCAGTAGCTTGTGTGTTGCTGTGTTGACAGGGGAACTCTAAAAAGAGCAGTCTGTTGAGGTGGTATAAAAGAGGGTCCATCAGGACTGAAAAATATATTGTTGAAAGCCAACGATTTTGGCAACGGCACTGCTGGTGATGGCTGAATCTGAGAAGGAAGCCGAGAATGCAATTTCAGACAAGGAGTTGTAAAAAGTTAGTTTTATTGAACATTTATTATCTGGACCTTGTATCATCAACAGAATTACATGATGACTACTCACTATTTGCAACTTTAAACTGTTTAAAGTGACTAAACTGACCACCTAACATAATTTGAAGTTTTAGAAAAACAATAATGTTTGACTCACAGTAGTGGCCACATACGGCAAATCACTGTGGCAATCTGGTTTAGGATCAGCTAAGATGCATAGTCGTAGCTAATGTTTAATGTTTAAGATGTCTAAACAGATTTGCCAACAAAAATACAGAATAGTTTGTGTTTAGACCAAAGTTCTTTAAAGGGAATCTTTTTATTTATTTTATGTTTGGATGTGATCAACTTAACGTCAATGTTTCTGCAGTGGTTTTTCTTTATTTATGTACACGTTGGCAGATCTCTCTGGGCATTTTATACAGCACAGCAGTTTTGAACTTCTGTCATGTGAAACATGTAAACTTTAATTTAATTTCCTTTCAATTTTCACTCTAGCTGATGAGGCCATTAAATGCTTTGGATGAATTGTACCGGCTGGTAGATTCTTTTATTCACTCCAAACGTACAGCAGCCTGTGCCTACACAGCTTGTAGCGCCTCAGGAGTTGGATTGCTGTCTGTGTCGTCAGAACTTTGTAACCGGCTTGGAGCCTGCCATATAATAATGTGCAATAGTGGGGTGCACAGGTAAGAACAAGAGGTGTTATTTCCTGCTGATCATTTAATCATGTAAAAAAAAAAGTAAATCCAAAGTCTGCTCTACCTGAAAATGTTTCTACCCTCAAGCAGCTGTTGTAGAAACATCCTAAAGTATGTATAGGTAATTATCCTAAATGCAGGGCTGAAACACAAAAACCTGAAATTGTTATAATAACCTCCGAAAAATGTCTCACCACCCAAAGGGCATGTGAGCAATAAATGCTTTCGATGATATAGACAGAGTGAACAAAATATCAAAATTCACAATCAAAGAAAACTCACAGTAAAACACAGTGGGGGGATTTATCAAAACTGGAGCAGACAAAATCCAGATCTGATCTCTGAATCCAGATCAAAAACTACACATGAAAACATATTTTTTAGTATAACATACCATAGTCCCATACAAAAAATTCCTTATATCATGAATCATTCCACTTCAAATGTAATCTTGTGAACTTCCACCAAGATAAAATCCTTCATTAGAAAAAACTCCTAACCCTTATGGGCAGACACTCACTAACCGATATAGATAAGACCTCTTAGGTAAGAAGGTCCTATGCACTGAATCAGAACCCCAAACGAAAACAAAATGTTCCAGGTCTCCTTGCCTGCATCGGTCCTGATGACATCACTATTGATGAAATGTATTGGGTCTGAGCACTGTTACGCATAGACGTGCGGCGCACACGCGGTTTGGGGTGTACATCTGACATAGAGCGGTTTGGCATTTTACTTTAATACGGGTGCATATTTATCTCTTTGTGAGTAAATAGGTTGTTTTCATTTGTTCATTCAATAAAGGGTATTTTACACAATTAGATATTTACTTCACTTGTTCCTTATTAGATGGGTGTGGAGTAATATGTAACAAGAAGGACTGATGCAGGCGAGGAGACCTGGAACCTTTTGGAGGGGATTCATAAAATCTGGAGCAGCTGTGCATGGCAACCAATCAGCTTCTCTCTTCAGTTTGTTCAGTTAAGACTTGAAAATGAAAGAGAGAAGCTGATTGATTGCCGTGCACAGCTGTTCCAGATTTTGTCTGCTCCTAGTTTTGATAAATTCCCTCTGCTGTCTTTGCTTGGGGTTCTTATTCAGCGCATAATACCTTCTTATCTAAGAGCTCACATATTGGTTGGTGAGTGTCTGCCCATAATGGTTAGGAGTTTTTTTTCTCATAGAGGATTTTTATCTTGGTGGACATTCACAAAATCACTTACGTTTTGAAGTGGAACGATTTATGATTTAAGGACTTTTTTCACACGTGGTTTTGGATCTGGATTCACTGCAATTTGTCTTTGATTGGTGATTTTAATATTTTGTCCACTGCTTTTTTTCCACTGTGTTTATATTATTGAAAACATTTATTGATCACATGTACTTTGGGTGGCGAGCCATTTTTCAGGGGTTACTATAACAATTTAAGGTTTTTGTGTTTTTAGCGCTGTATTTAGGATAATTGTCATGTATAAGACATGTTTCTTTTTTTATCTCAGTAAATATAATTAAAAGTTGATTAAAATGCATAGAATGCATTCTCTATATTAGGTAAGCTAATCAAAATATAAGAACGCTGCACTTTAAAGATAAACATGAGGAAATACCAAAATTATAAATCCCCCAACCCAAATTATTATATATTCCCCCCAACCACATCCTGCTGAGACAGGATCTAATGCAGAGTATTACTTACATTAATCTACGGCCTTGTGGTATTCCTGCTTGCTGGTTCCAGTTATGGTGACTGATAACGCAAACCTCCTCTTCTTGCCTTGTTGCCACTCTCTCTCCAACAACATTATGAACAATATTATGTGCAATGCAAGATCGGACACTATGGGGTCAATTCACAAAGCTCAGCGTTATTAGAGTAGAAGTTAATTTATCTATCCTTATTTTACCACTCTTTATTTTACTGGCTGAAACATGCAATTCACAAAAGCCGGAATCGTGAATGCACAGGCAGTTTAACGTTCCTTAACCTCTTGCCGTCCGACCGTAGTAGAAAAACGGACGGACGGCACTGCTGCATTGGCTGTAAATCATATAGAAATAACAATAAAAAAAATTCTGAACGGAATGAATATATGATTTATTTAGATCTAAATCTGTTGACTATCAGACAGTGTAGGGAGGGCAAGCATTTCTCCTTACCACCTATAAAGCCTGTCTTGATATTAAATATGTTGCACGGAACAATCCACTTGCTCTACAACTCCACTGAAGGGTGTTCAGGGATATTTGATTTTTTGTGTCATGTGAGATTTGCCACTAACCTCTAACTGTAAAAAATCATCTACATTTGTAGAAGGATAAAAACTGTAGAAATGACAACTACATGCCGTCTTCTTCTTCTGTAAGCAAAAGTATTAAGCCATGTGAAAATGAAGAAAAAAGGTTCCATTTCTATCTACCTCATGTCATCTCAGTGCAGCAAGCATCAGATAACGTCTGAAATCTGTCATAACGCCACCCTGAAGGAGGTGATAAATCTACGTCTCAATAACGAGTGATAAAAGGACCTTTTCCTTTTGTGAATTGCATTTCAAGCAATTCACACTCCAAGCAATTTTATCACTCGAGTTGTTAAAATAACATCTGAATAGTTAAAATAAAGTCTCAATAGTTAAAATAACATCTGAATAGTTAATTTGACACTTCTTAAAAATAAGAACCGTTATTGAGTTTTGTGAATTGACTACCTTTACACAGCAACTATATAACAAGCGATATCAATGAAATAACGGCCGAAATGAAGAAAATAAGCTTTGTCAATTGACCACTATGTGTCCTGACATGAAATGAGGGTAAATCTCCCCAACAGGGACAAAGATGGCTATAAAAAAAACTTAGAGGATCTAATCTTTTCCCGCTCTATCCAAAATGAAAAAAATGTTTTGGCTAGAGTTGGACTTAAATATACGTCAAATGAGAGCTCTCAGGAGCAGTTTTTTTTTAATCATAGCAATCATATTCATTTAATGATTTTTATTCATAACAATAATGTGTTTTAATGTGCCCTTCCGATTCATGTGAATGTGAATTTTAATGACACTTAATGATCCACTTTAACTGGAAATCCTCCACTTGCATCTATTCCATCAATGTGGTTACATGAATAGGTCATCTTCCTACAAATCTCTAGGAAATTATAGCAATGCCCCTGCTTTATGCTTGTTAATATATTTTGTTAAAGTCCAAATATTCAAATATAATGTTGCCCATAGAACCTCAACATGTTTAAATGCTTGCATCAAGATGCATAGGTACATTAATTTTATGTGCTGCAAACTCTGCACGGGGTATTGCAATGCAGGATTTTTAATGCCCAGAACAACTTTGCGTGTTTCTGTTACTATCTATAGCCCTGACAGCTAGCACCATTCCTAACATTTATAGTCTTTATAATACTTAATCTACCCCCAACACTGAAACATAACCCTTATTATACCTACCATAATCTTTAACCTTTGACCTAAGCTTTCAAATTCACCATTGACTCCTAATCTAACTCTGTAAATAAAAACTTAACCTGACCCTATTACTTAACCCTATCCCTTCCTTCCCACCTTAACCCTTAATCTAACCTTTCTAATGTAACACTGTAACCACATTCTCTTAGCCTGTCACTAAACCCTCCGCTAACCTTATAAACAAAACCATCACAGTACTAACAGTCTGTTATTTTGGTGCTGAATTGTAATAGTCTTGAATACGTAAGTTACATATTTCTTGGGTCTCAAACCACAGTCCCTCAAAGTATGTCTCCAAAACACCAGATTTTATCAACAGTGGAAAAGGACAGTTGTTTAAAGGTATAAGCCAATATTCTTGGCAATGCAGCCTTTATATTTGCTAGAAACTACTAATCAGTGAAAAACCTCATAACCAATGTTTATGAGACCTTGGGTCCTTGCGAAGCATACACTGTATTCCCATGAGTATTGGTCTGTTTGAAAAAATACCAGTTTTTATTGTATAATTCTTAAATTGAAAAATAAAAATAGACAAAAAATAAGATGCAGCCTATTTGTTCGTTTAGAGTGACATTATCAAGACATAAAGGTGACTTACTAATGGAATCCTGGTTCAATTTTAGAAAATGATCCAATTGCTGCATTATTTTCATTTTGTTGAAATATAGTAAAAATGAGCAGAGATATTGCCCAGAGTATTTATATGAATTGATAAATATGTTCAATTCAATTCTACCCAGTATTGATTTTGTTATTTTATAAATAAGCCTTTCAAAGGAAAATTATAGTGTATATTCTCTTTATTTATTGTGTCACAGTGGCGTAGTGGTTAGTGCTTCTGCCTTGATTCGACTCCCAGCCAGGACACAATCTACAAGGAGAAGTTGTAGTTGCTTATGTGGGTTTTCTCTGGGTACTCCAGTTTCCTCCCACATTCCAAAGACATACTGACAGGTTCATTGGCTCCTGTCTAAATTGTCCCTTGTATGTATAAATGTGAGATAGGGCCCGTAAATTGTAAGGGACTAATGTGAATGTGCACTGTAGAGTGTGTAAATCAGTGTATAATAAGTGAAAATGTCCTTTGTGAAGTTAAAATACACTTTGCAAAGAGATTATACTCTACTTCCCCCTACCTTGACCCTGATATCTTCAGCCTGAGAACAGGCATGCAGCCAAATCCAACCTCCCTGTGTGGCCAAGAATGTAGACCTTAGATTTTACTTTGGTTTAAACCAATATCTAGTGCTGGTGACAGGGAGGATTCACACCATGTGGTAACAGACAGCTATTTTTGCTGCGTTTTGGTTTGCCCTGAGTTTTCTTTAAGCGCATGATATGTCTCATAATTTAGCTGCTATGGATTTGATTGCCTGCATTCTCTTTTTATATTTATCCTACAAGATCTAAGTGGTGTGAAACTTGGTACAGAAGTAACTATTTTGTCAGCTTTGGAACTAGATAATGCAGATTATTCATTATATATCGTTTACATATGATGATAGCGCA